GACCAAATGCTTCCTCGAGAAGTTCTAGTGCTTTACGATAGCCTTCTTCTGGCTCAAGCAATGCGCAATGAACAATAGTGTTTTTAGCTTCACCATCACAGTACTGGATCAAATAGTTTAACCTAGATCGGAACCCGATGCTCTCGTCAAAACAATCCTGAAAATTCCGTATGAAGCTCCAATAGTTCATAGGGTTACCATCAAACCTTATAATCTCTTTCTTTGGTAGGTCTAAAGCTCTAGACATCATTGTTACCCAGTCTTTTCTAGGAGGAACATCGACGACAGATGTAGACTCATACGTCATCGCCTTGTCAACCATAACTTGATCATAATGTTCTCTTCCTTTTTGGCGTAACCGTTCTAGCTCGATTTCTTTTTCTGTCTGAGCTAAACGTACTTTAGCTAATTCTAACTCTAACAAGGGATCTATTCGGTAGGTATTTCCTCCGAGCTGGTCATCACTATGGGTTTCTGAATAATGAGGAGACAATTCAGGAATATGATCAGTTTTACGACTCTCCATAGGTACCCAATGTACGAAACTTTGATGAGTTACTGTTCGAAACTTTGTAGGAAGCAATTTCCCACAGATTCAACTCTAAACTAATCTCTAGCCTGTCGAGTACAGAGTCTTGGTTTGGCCAAAGTCAGAACAAGTAAGCTATTTGGCTATATAACTTTATCTGTTTCTAAAACATAAATTAACATCGTTAGTGTGCAAACGAACAGTACAGTCTATTAATACAAAGAAAAACAGAGACAGATAACATACCGAACAGTAGCTAGAGAATAGGAAAAATGAGTCAACAAGCCAAAATCGTCTTACAATAAACATTAAACTGTGATTGGTTAATAAAAAGATACAGTCGTACAAGGTCAAAAGGAGTTAATGTGGTGGTGGGCGTTTCCCTTTATTATTGGTGGGTTCGTTTATCGATCACATTTTACAAGCGCTAAATGAGAAGATGATGTTGGTACGACGAAAGAGCGAAGCACCATTAGCAGTAATGACAGACGCATCGAACTTAGCAGTAGGAGCCGTTTTGCAGCAGTTAGTAAACGGTGCATGGGAGCCACTTTCATTTTTCTCGAAAAGATTAAATCCTACCCAAACGAGATATAGTACTTTTGGACGAGAATTATTAGCAATCTACTTGGCAATAAAACACTTCCGTCATATGGTCGAAGGCATAAGTTTTACCGTCTATACAGACCACAAACCGCTAACGAAAGCATTAAGCGCAAAGCAAGACAATTATTCCCCGAGAGAGATCCGACAACTAGAGTTCATTTCACAGTTCACGTCCGACATACAGTACGTTAAAGGACAAGAAAACGATGTGGCCGACGCATTGTCACGAGCAACGATAAGCACACTTATGGCAAGTGGAATTGATTATAACGGTCTAGCAAAGTTGCAGGAGAGAGACATCGAGCTAAATAAACTCAAATCCGGTGGTATAACATCATTAGTACTCGAAGAGGTGCGGTTTGGTAACACGAAAGTAATTTGCGATACATCAACAGGCCGACCGCGACCGTTTATCCCGAAAACGTTGCGACACAAAATATTCGAAAGCATGCACAACATGTCGCACCCAGGAATAAAAGCCACGATAAAGCTGATTAGTGAACGATTCGTATGGACAAACATGAATCACGATGTACGTAGTTGGACACAAGCATGCATGAAGTGCCAAAAAGTTAAGGTACATCGTCATACTAGCTCTGCAGTAGGTCCGTTTTCGCACCCAGACACTAGATTTGAACATATACACATCGATATCGTAGGACCACTGCCCGTTTCAAATGGATACAACTATATCTTTACATGCATCGATAGGTTTACACGATGGCCGGTAGCAGTGCCGATAAAAGACACCTCAGCTGAAACGGTAGCTAAAGCCCTAGTTGAAAATTGGATTTCTTACTACGGTGTACCAACGATTATCACAACGGATAGAGGAGCACAATTCGAAAGTCGACTCTTTCAGCAGCTTACTGAACTCCTCGGTATTAAACGAATCCGAACGACGTCGTACCATCCAATGGCAAACGGAATGGTTGAACGCCTACATAGGCAATTAAAAGCGTCCCTTACAGCCGTCATCGTTAACAACGATTGGTCTAATAAACTTCCCCTAGTAATGTTAGCTCTAAGAGCAACAATTAAACAAGACATGGGATGTTGTCCAGCCGAGTTAGTTTACGGAACTACTCTAAGATTACCCGGAGAATTTTTCACTTCAAGTAAAAATGTCCCGACTGATGTAACCGGCTATGTGCAACGTCTGAGAAAGCACATGAGCGATTTAAAAATAACACCTCCCAGACCACAACAACGACGGGTATTCATACCACAGGAACTACATAACAGCTCTCACGTATTCATCAGAAGAGATAAAGTACAACCACCTCTTCAACCGAGTTACGACGGACCATTTAAAGTGATAGAGAGGACAAATAAAACGGTTACCATAGAAAAAGCTGGGAAGACAGATGTAATTAGCATCGATCGAGTAAAGCCAGCTTTTATCGATAGCGATATTCAATCAACAAGTACAGACTCATCTAAGATGGTCATACCAGCGAAACACGAGTCCCAAAAATCAACAACGTTAACGCAACAAAAAGACAAGACTGCGATAACAACAAGATCCGGCCGTAGAGTAAGATGGCCCCAACATTATGTCGCTACAATTTTCTATTAATAATAATCTACTATTTGGAATATTAATTATAACTTCTACCTCATCGTATACACATGCATTATTAAGCTCATGCTATACGCTATAAAACTCAACGTATCTTATGTACCCTTACACTTATGCGTATAATTTGTGGTTTAAAATGTAAAGACAATACCGCTTTCCTTCCATTTCTTGCTATTATTTTATGTAACCTCACGGACGGGCGCAAATCAAATGTACAGCACACACCAACTTCACCTTAATTTTGTATAAGCCATTTTTCTACCCTATTCAGTCTACTATTTTTTTTTATGCAAACACAGACATTTTCCATATATCTTTGTTTGCAGGGGGGAGCTATTATAGCGACTCACGTGCTAATGGGTTTATTTTCATTTAACCCAGTTAAGCCCTTTTTGTTAACTTATTTAGCGGACAAAGCCATCCGCGCTATAACAATTTATTGTATCCTTATTATTATTTTGCGCTTGTATGAAATACGTTTGCTTGAATATTGATTACTGCCTACGCATTTATTCACTCTGTTAATCTTACTACTAACCGCTTATTCGGTTCGATTACTCATTCATTTCACATGGTATATATATATATGTCCATTTTATTCATATTGAACTCGATCGCTCACTCGCTCGCACGGTCTCGTCACGCTCTTGCTCTGGCTCTCGCTCGCTTGCTTGCCTTTCGGCACAACTCTCCTATGCTTGTTTAATACATCTGTACATTTGGATATATGTGTGTGGTTTCGCAATAAACGTAATCGACACTTCGTATTTGCCTTCTGATTAATATACCGTTGGTACGTTATATAGAACGGTTATCGCGACGAACTGTATACGAAGTTTAAGGATTATATCAAATACCGACCACCACATAGCTAACAGTCATCCATTTTCTGCTTGAATTCATGAATAGAATTTTGTTGTTGTTGTTTCTGTCTTACATACACTCAAAAGATGGATCTGTTTGCCAAACTCTAATGGGACAAATTCATTTCAAAAATTCAACTTTTTATCTCTGTCCTTTACATGTAACATAGCTTTCTGTACCAAGCTGTTCATGCTTGCGGACTAGTATGGATTTTTTAATAATGTCCAGAATATGATAATAATAATTATATTGTGAATAATCAGTGTGGATTTATATGGGGTAAGTGAAGTATTTCCGGTTCATTAAAAATAATAGATCAGTACAATGGATACCTATTTCCTAGTTAACACTGTCATGTAGTAATGGACAATATATCGTAAATAATGGCTCATTTATAGAGTTTTTATTACTGCTACTATACACTACAAAAAATTTGACGCTAAAAAAACTTTATACTTACTTAAGTATTCCTGTTATACCATGTGAAAGAGAATAGGCCGTCCACCAGCAATCTCCATTGAACTCTGTCCTGGGCGATTCTTTCCAGTTGTTCCCAGTTGCTACTCATCATTTTGACGTCCGCTTCGCTTATAGCTCTTCTAGGGTTACTGTCGGTCTCAATCCCGTGTAAAGGAGAGGGGTCGGGTATGAAGTCAGCAACCCCAACCCGTAGAAAGCAACCTTGCAAAAAACACTAAACAGAATAAACAAAAGAACCTTTATGGCTGTAACTTCATTACAGACTTCATTAAATTATTCAATAAATTGGAACCATTTGTTGGTTATAGCAGTTTAAGTTTATAATATTTCAAACTGTTTACATCCATTAACTTTTTGATTACTACCCTTCTTTATATGCTATCCCTGTTCGTTCATGTTACCTAGATACGACTACTCAATGTCAAGTACCAGTCAATTCCATTGATTCAATTCTGAATATCAGTCATGTAAAAATCATTGTTTTCAGACATAACCAAATGTTTTACACCATTGCCAAATGGATTTATCTTGGACGTTTCATTTAGGATTTAGTACGCTATCTATTTTTTTTTCATTTCAAGCTCATATTTGTAGTTTTTTTTAAAAAGAAACTTTAGTCACCACAAGTCTGTTAAATAACAAGTCAGCATAATCAAAATACAAAGTTAACTACTCATGTACGTAAAAAAAACTGATGCTGTTTTTCTCAGTATGGTTTGTGAAGCGAACGCTACTGGGTTCGAGTCGCGTAGTGAACACCAACTCTGGGATGAAGGTACATCCAGCTGACGAGTCTCAAATAAGATGAAACGCACATCAAACTGGATCCCACTACTAGCCACTACCCATCTTTGCTTAAAAAAAACTGATTTTCTGTTGTTGCTTTTTTTTTGAAAAAAAGAATTTGTATCCAGTTGAATTGGAAATTCTTAATTTGAACTAATTACCTTTTTTCTTCTGGTAAATGCCTAAAGGTGTAAAAGTTTTAAATTTTGGCTCATTATTATTATTATTATTATTATTATTATTATTATTATTATTATTATTATTATTAGTAGTAGTAGTAGTAGTAGTAGTAGTAGTAGTAGTAGTAGTAGTAGTAGTAGTAGTAGTAGTAGTAGTAGTAGTGGTAGTAGTAGTAGTAGTAGTAGTAGTAGTAGTAGTAGTAGTAGTAGTAGTGGTAGTAGTGGTAGTAGTAGTATTAGTAGTATTAGTAGTGGTAGTAGTAGTAGGAGGAGGAGTAGCAGTAGTAATAGTAGTATTAGTAGTATTAGTAGTAGTATTCATATTGCTAGGAATTCTCTCAAAATTTTCTATAATTTTCTAGACATTTTTTCGATACATCATAATGATAATTAAATATTGTTAAATATTGAATTGTACCAATATATTGTTAAATTTGTGAGGATATTTAAGGAAAGGGGGAAAATTTCAAATGATTATTATTTTGATAACTTATTACATCTATTTGTTGTTATGATGTCATGATTATTCACTATTCTAGTTTATGATATTTTCATATTGTTCTAATGATAAGCTTTCATTTCCTTTACAAGCTATTGACGATACTGCCGTCCAGTGCTTCCAGGTTTTCCATGGTGGTCTAGTTTCAACTGACTCATGATTTCATTCTGTAAAATTTCTAAAATCTCCACAAACCCCTTCTGATATATTTTATAGTTTCAAGATTTGAATAGTTGAATTCATGAGTCGATCTAGGTTAGAACACCATTGGGAACCTAGAAACACTGGGCAGTTGCTTCGTCCAATAAGGGGACTCCTCAGTAGTACTCATACATGATTCAGCACGCGGGACTCGAACCCAAGACCATCTTAGGCTCAATGTTTCACATAAATACTTTTCTGTATTCAAATGGAATATAACTAGAGAAGTTGAGTGATATAGCCGTAATCTAATGTTATATCTTATCGAAGACTGAAGGAATGATAACTCCAGGAACTAATTTATAGGTTGTTATTATTATTATATATATTTTTATTGTATAACTATTAAGTAATTGGATTACTTTGTCAAATATCCCTTTCATCATAAGTTTACGGTTAACCTACAAAGTATTAACATACGACTTACTGTTCATAATTTTTGCCAACATTTTACTCACTGTCTACCCTATTCACTATCACTTTGTCTAGTTTGTGTAAAATTGTTATTTTCCATTTTATAGTATAGTATAATGTAGTAAGGTGTGGTCCAGGGTGTCTGTATATAAACCACTTCCATTAGGAATATAAGCATAATAGAAGCTTGTTGTTGATTTTTAGACATAGAGAGAAGCTTACGAATGATGAACTAGTGGATATTTTACTGAGTCAACTCAAGGTTAATAATGATGATTAAATGAGTAATAGGCAGAGACACTAATTTACGATGCGAAAAGTAGATGCAAAATAAATCAACTTTAAATTAGGATTTTGATTGGTGACTTTGCTCGTGATATTAGTCAGCCGTCTCTTGACATCACAACCATAAAAATATGTTTGTATATGAAGTTTCTCACTAACATTATCACATTTATTTTTAAAGATAGACCACTCTTTTCGTGAAATACATGCAATTCGTGTCAAATAAACGGTAACAGTAGTACTTTACTCATTGTAAATGTTAGCATGTGCACCTAGATGTGAGATAGGTTACAAATGTTGGTACGTTCATTTTAGTGATTTCAATCTGATCGTTCATTCTCCAAAAGATCTTCATTACCACAGTTGAACCAAGAAAGCAAAATACATTTCCTTTCAAGACTGATACCACTGTTCAACATTTCGCCTTCGTTTCTAAGAAACGAGGTAGATGTCATTAGTTAAGTATGTAGCTCAAACTTCTAGACAATTCTGTGCTTGTCACTAGAGCTTCATTCTCACTACCTCTATTTTACCCATCTCATGGACGACTGGACATCGAATTCCTATGTAGATATGCATCTCCAAATGTATTTTTGCCACACCTTTTTAAATATTGGAATTCACACAAATATTTATAATTCACCACAGTACTCTGTCACACAAGTAATAATATCACAAAATAAGTGGAATTGGTAAGTGATTATTTTACGAGTGGTAGGTGAGTCCCTCCGGGGGCTACTGCCGGTCCCAACCCCGGATAAAGGTGGAGGGTTGGGCATGAGGTTAGCGTCCCCATCTGGTAGAAATCTAACTCGCTAAAATGCTAACCAGAAAAAATTATTCAAACCTTTTAAACTCTGCCCTGGCAGTCAGAAGGTCTTCATCATGAAAGCCGAATTCGTTCGGAAGTTACGAGGCCGATGCCCCTTCTGACAACCAGAACGAACATTTATTTAAGTACATGGAATGTTCGTACAATATGGGACACCGGTAGAGCTTTTCAAATTGCTGCAGAAATGAGAAGATACAACCTAGAGGTACTTGGGATCAGTGAAACACATTGGACACAAGTTGGACAACAACGACTAACTACAGGAGAGCTCCTGTTATACTCCGGCCATGAAGAAGAAAATGCACCACATACAGAAGGAGTTGCATTGATGCTGTCCAAGCGAACACAAAATGCACTTATAGGATGGGAATCTCATGGACCAAGGATCATCAAAGCCTCCTTCAAAACAAAGAAAGAGGACATTTCAATGAACATCATCCAATGCTATGCGCTTACCAACGACTACAATGAAGACGCTAAAGATCAATTCTACAATAGGCTGCAGTCAATCGTCGAGAAGTGCCCAACAAAGGACCTGACCATTCTGATGAGAGACCTAAATGCCAAGGTTGGAACGGACAACACTGAACATGAAGACATCATGGGACGACACGGACTGAGAGAAAGGAACGAAAATGGTGAGAAGTTTGCAAACCTATGTGCCTTCAATAAACTGGTCATAGGCTGCACTATATTCTCACATAAACACATTGATAAAACTACATGGACTTTACCGGATCACACTACGCAAATCCAAATCGACCATATCTGCATCAACAAAACGTTCAGGAAGACTATAGAGGACGTGAGAACCAAAAGTTGAGCTGATATGGCAGCAGATCATCACTTGCTGGTTGCCAAGATGAAATTGAAACTCAGGAAGTACTGGACAACGGTGCAAATCATATAGTCAGGACGAGGACAAATTGGCTCTAAACTTCATCTGTCTCTAAACGTAAAAACAACTCCGCCTGGAGTCCCTCCAGGGGCTACTGCAGGTCCCGAGCCCGGATAAAGGAGGAAGGTTTGGCGTGGGATTAGCGACCCCATCCGTTAGAAAACTAACTCGCTAAAATAACACTAATCAGAAAAAATTATTCAAACCATTTAAACTCTGCCCTGGGAGTCAGAATGTCTTCATTTAGAAACCACATGGACTTCACCGGATCACACTACGCAAATCCAAATCGACCACATCTGCATCATCAAAACGTTCAGGAAGACTATAGAGGACGTGAGAACCAAAAGTTGAGCTGATATGGCAGCAGATCATCACTTGCTGGTTGCCAAGATGAGATTGAAACTCAGGAAGTACTGGACATCGGTGCGGACAATATCACAAGTGTTCAATGCGGCCTTTTTTCGGGATACTGACAAACTTAACGAATTCAAGATAGTCCTCACCAATAGATTCCTGGCCTTTCATGATCTACTCAATGTTGAAGGAACTACTATGGAGAGCAACTGAAAAGAGATACAAGAGGCAAACACTTCAACATGCCATGACGTTCTGGGTCACAAGAAGCACCATCACAAAGAATGGATCACTGTTGATACACTGGATAAGATTCAAGAAAGGAGGAACAGGGAGGCAGCAATCAATACCAGTCGAACAAGAGCAGAAAAAGCCAAGTCACAAGCTGAATACACAGAAGTAAACAAGCAAGTGAAGAGGAGCATCAGAACTGACAAACGTAAATATGTGGAAGATTTAGCGATGACGGCGGAAAAGGCTGCAAGTGAAGGAAACATGAGAGAACTGTGTGACATAACTAAGCAACTCTCTGGAAATCACCGTAAATCAGAACAACCGGTGAAAAGCAAGGAAGGTGAGGTAATCACCAACATTGAAGAACAACGAAACAGGTGGGTAGAACACTTCAAAGAACTGCTGAATCGATCAGCTCCAATAAACCCATACAAAATCGAAGTAGCACTCACGGACCTACCAACCGATGTTGGCCCACCAACTATTGAAGGAATCAGCATGGCCATCAGACAAGTCAAGAGTGGCAAAGCAGCAGGACCAGACAACATTCCAGGAGAGGCACTGAAAGCAGACGTAGCGGCAACTGAAGGGATACCCCGCATTGTCTTCAATAAGATTTGGGATGAGGAACAAGTACCAACAAACTGGAAAGAAGGACTTCTGATCAAAATTCCAAAACAAAGGCGATCTCAGCATGTGTGTTAACTACAGGGGCATCACTCTTCTCTCAATACCAGGAAAAGTCTTCAACAAGGTATTGTGAAAGAGGATGAAGGACTGCGTAGACGCCCAACGTCGAGACCGGCAGGCTGAATTCCGTAAGGATAGATCGTGTACAGACCAAATCGCAACTCTACAGATCATTGTGGAACAATCAATTGGATGGAATGAAATTCATCACTCTACATCAACTTCATTGACTAGGAAAAAGCATTTGATAGCTTGGACAAAACAACACTATGGAAACTTCTTCGACACTACGGCGTGCCTCAGAAGATAGTCAATATCATACAGAATTCATATGATGAATTAAACTGCAAAATTGTGCATAGGGGACAGTTGACAAAGTCGTTTGAAGTGCAGACCGGTGTTAGGCAAGGTTGCCTACTCTCATCCGTTATCTTTTTCCTGGTGGTTGACTGGTTCATGAAGACGTCAACATCTGAAGGGAAGCATGGGATACAGTGGACATCTAGGATAGAGTTGGACGATCTAGACTTTGCAGATGATCTGACTCTTCCATCGCATACGCATCAACTAATGCAGAAGTCGAGCAGTAAAGCATCAGCCTCAGCAGCAGTAGATTTCAACACAAAAGAGGGAAAAGCATGACTCTCCGATACAACACAGCGTGAACCAATCCAATCACAATTGACGAATAAGATTTTGAAGATGTAAATATATTTACATATTTGAGCAGTATCATTGATGAACATGGTGGATGTGATGCAGATGTGAAAGTGCGGATCGGTAAATCGAGAGCAGTATATTTACAACTGAAGGACATCTGGAACTCAAAACAACTGTCAACCAACACCAAGGTCAGGATTTTCAATACAAATGTCAAGACAGTTCTACTGTATAGCGCAGAAACCTGGAGAA